ATGAGGTGTCTCCTAGGCAACCGGAGCGGGACCAATACATCAAGGCGCGGTTCCTTGAAGAAAACACCTACAGTTTTAAATGTGAGCAAATATTGATATCTGGTGGTACGAAATAAGTTGTGTTGTTAGGCTTTTTTTTATTTGGTTGTTGCTATTTATTTATTTTTGTCAAATTAATGTGAAATTCCCCATTAATCTCATATGGTGAGTCGTGTAAGTGTAGTTTTACCTCCTGTTTAGCGCCGCATGGCTGCCAGACAATGGGACATATACTGAAGTAAGGTCAGAAAAAAATATACGCCCAAGTTCACAAATGCTAAACAGTCAATGAAAGACCCGGCCTACTTGGACCAGGTAGGCCTAGTACTTGGAAGGATGCTTCACCTGAATTTGGACACAGCCTGTATGTCAAGTTTTAGCTAATGCTAGGTTACATTAGCCTACTGTTGCTAGCGTTAAAATAGCTATGTGAGGCCTGATACGGATACAAATCTTAATAAAAGCAACAAAATTCAACATATTTAATTTCTAAATAAACTTTACAGTTGTCTGAGTTGTTGGGATTTGTCTTAAAACCACAATTAACATAAACAGAAATAAACTAGCTTGAATACAGAAGCTAGCTAAAGCTAGAATTAGCCAACTTACAAAGATGAGTTTCAGCAGGACACTAAACTCCATTAGAGGCCAGTTTCTAATCAGAAAAATGGATTCCCTGTAAAGAAAATTTTACTGAAAAAAATATATATTTTGTCTTTTGTCAATCAATAAAAAGTATAACGTGCTAGCATGATGTAACTGCAAGCACTTTCAAACAGACTTGAACCTGCACCGAAGGGCCTTGAGTGTCTGTTAGTGCCTGTTTTTGTCTTCGTTTTTTTTTTGTCTGGCATAACTGAGGCGTCAGCCCTTGTGTCTCACCCTTCCGGTGTGAAGGCACTCCGGGGTAAAAACATACATGTCTCACCGAGACCTGCATCAAACCATGTGACAATGCTACCACATCTGCTCTCTCAATTAACCACACTTTCTCCCACACTTCTCGTGCATCTGGCCGAGGTGGTGGAACGGGCATGTTAATTTCCAACAAATGGATATACAGTCAGTTGCTACCATCACTGAATACAACTCCTTTGAATACCATGCCATCCAGGTAACTGTACTGAAAACATTCTTTTTGGTTGTCGTGTATCGCCAACCAGGTCAACTCAGAGACTTTCTTGATGAACTCGACACCCTGCTCTCCTCCATTTCTGAGCACGACTGTCCCACAGTGGTCCTTGGAGATGTGAATATTCACCTGGACAATCCCAGCTCATCAGGCTTCCTGTCACGAATGTCATCATTTGATTTAAAACTAGTACAAAGTCCTCCAACTCACAAAGCTGGAAAAGCACTTGACCTCATTTTCACCAGAAACTGTGCCGTAGACACAATCTCTGTCACACCGCTGCATCTTTCCGATCATTACTTCATCCATTTCAGCACGACTCTACAAGGGAGGTCCACTGCTTCCTCCCCAGTGGTCTCATTCCACCGCAACCTCCGCAATCTGGCACCCAACCACTTCTCCTCTCTTGTTGCCTCCACTCTTCCGTCTCCCAGCACATTTTCTGCTTATGAAGTGAATGATGCCACCGAGTCACTCTGCTCCACACTCTGCTCTTGTCTTAACAACTTGTGCCCTTCAGCCACTAGACCTGCTAGATCCTCTCAGTCGCACCCTTGGCTAAATGATACCCTCTGGTCTCTATGCACCAAACTTAGAGCTGCGGAACGGAAATGGCGCAAAACAAAAGATCCTGGTGATCTATTGAAATTTCATGAATTACTGTCCTCATTCTCTGCCAGCATCACTGATGCAAAGAAAGCTTTCTACACTGACAAAATTCTCAGCTCTACTGACTCTCAGAAACTATTTTCAACATTCAAAACTCTGCTCACCCCTCCATCTCCACCTCCTACCAACAATCTATCAGCTGACACTTTTGCCTCATTCTTCACTGACAAAGTGGCAGCTGTAAGCAAACAGTTTACTCAACTGGCCACTCCTGAACATTCCCTACCACAAACTCCTTCTAGTCCAAGCATCTCAGGCCCTACTGCTTCATTTTCCTCTTTTCCCCTGTCACTGAGAACTGTGTGTCCAAGCTTCTCACGTGCAGCCGCTCTACTACATGCCCACTCGAACCCATTCTGACTAAGCTGCTCCAAGCTATTGCTCCTACATTAGCTGCAGCAGTCACACATGTGATCAACGCCTCACTGACATCCGGTACATTTCCCACCTCTCTCAAGCATGCTCAGGTTAAACCGCTGCTAAAAAAAACCATCTCTTCCTCCAAATCATGTGGAGAACTACCAACCTATCTCTCTCCTCCCTTTTCTCTCCAAAATCATTGAAAGGGTGGCTTTCAAGCAGATCACAGAATACCTCTCACAAAACTGTCTGCTTGACCCTTACCAATCTGGGTTCAAAAAGGGCCACTCCACTGAAACTGCTCTGTTAGCAGTGACGGAATCCTTAAAAGAAGCTAGAGCGACTGCCAAATCCTCGGTGCTTATCCTGCTCGACTTATCGGCTGCATGTGACACTGTCAACCATGGCTTCCTTTTGTCCACACTCTCTAGCATGGGCATCACATAGAAAGCACACGCCTGGTTTGAATCGTACCTCACAGGACGATCATTCAGTGTATCTTGGCTTGGACAATCCTCTACCTGCACCATCTTGCCACAGGAGTCCCCCAGGGCTCTGTACTAGGACCTCTTCTCTTTGCCATATACACCACCTCACTGGGTGAGATCATTCGATCACATGGCTTCTCCTACCACTGCTATGCAGACGACACCCAGCTCTATCTGTCATTTCCACCGGACGACCACACTGTCTCTGCACGAATATCAAACTGTCTCTCTGACATATCAAAATGGATGAAATCCCACCATCTCCAACTCAACCTCTCTAAAACTGATCTGCTTGTCATCCCAGCAAAACCATCCATACAGCACAATATCTCAATCCAGAATGACTTCCTATCTCTGGCTCTGTCAAAGGCAGTTCGAATTCTGGGTGTTGTGATTGATGAACACCTGATCTTTAAAGATCACGTTGCCTCTGTCGCTCGTTCATGCCGCTGTGTGCTGTAGAACATACGAAAGATCAGACCATACCTAACACAACATGCCACCCAGCTCCTGGTGCAATCTACTGTCATCTCCCGCCTCGATTACTGCAATGCCCTTCTAACTGGTCTTCCAGGCTGTACTGTGAGACCTCTTCAAATGGTCCAGAACGCAGCGGCGCGTCTGGTCTTCAATCAGCCTAAAAGAGCACACGTCACCCCTCTGTTCATTGAGCTCCACTGGCTACCGCTAGCAGCACGCATCAAATTCAAATTGCTAACACTAGCATACAAAGTCCGAGATGGTACGGCTCCCATCTACCTGAATCCTCTTGCAAAGGCTTACGTCTCGGCCCGGCCGCTCCGGTCATCACAGGATCGTCGGCTAGCAGTGCCTACACCACGCTCAGGACAATCCAGACTCTTCTCATGCATCGTTCCACAAATGTGGAATGACCTTCCAAACACTACCAGAACAGCGGCTTCCTTTTCAATTTTCAAGAAACTCCTGAAGACCCTGCTCTTTAGAGAGCATCTTCTAAACTAGCACCCTCCCTGCACCCGTCCCCCTCTCTACTGTCCACTCCTTGTTCCCTCCTCTCCATGAATGATGTCAAGTTGTTGTTGGTGTTAGCCTCAAGGGCAACATGCCGATTATCACTATTTAAATTTAAATCTGCCACCGCTATTGGTTTAGAGGTATGCTATGATGTTAGCTGGTACCGTATGATGTCACAATGCCATTGTGAGCCTGTGTGTGTGTATTTGTTAGCGGCTCTGCCCTCTCGGTCTGCCAGCCAACAGCATTTGTTGCATTTTTCAAACATGAAGTGGGGGAGGAGTAATACTCTGGTAGGGGGTGACTTGCTCTTTAAAAAGCGAAGTTCTACAAATAAACAGTCAAACCATTAATGCCCAAAAGTTGTTAGGAAGAACTTAACTTCCTTCTTTTGTTGTTTGTGAGGCAGCAGCAGAGGGAAGTTTGATTCCAGCAGTTTTAAACCTGGACTTGTTCATCTGCATACCTCCGACATTCCTGCTGCTGAAGGTTTTACTGCCCTACCTGTGAGTGCCACCATCATTACAGCCTTGACAGGTCAGACAGAGACACCTGTTGAGTTTACTTTAATAATAAGTTATTTCAACCGATTTCAATCTTTGCTAGAACAAATAACTACAAATTAAATGCAAGTGTGGTCATTTCGATGTTTGTTGTTTACAAAATGCACACGCCTCTTCTGATGCACCTTGATCAAAAGTCAGGTTTACTATCATTACACTGTAAAATAATTTGTTTTAGTTCACAGACTAACCTGTAGTGGCTTTGTAACAGAAACGGCATTGATTTTTTAATTAATTCATATAACTACCTGATTCCTAAACAACAGTTTTTATATTAATCTACTATTTAATCTAATAAAATGTTTGTTAATGCCAGTGAGTTCATAAATACCAAAAACCACTACTGAGAGTCTACAAAGGCCAGAAACTCTAAAAATCGTTACAGGGGAAGTTTGACAAATGCAGCTAAAAGGGAAAATATTCATTGTTGGTGCATTTCCACTGAAAAGAGAATGATGTTTGCACATTAATTAACCTTTTATCCCCGTTCTGCTGTCATAAACATGCAGATTTTGGCTCCTACGACTTACTGATATCAAATTGTTGCAACATGGCACTCCAAAAAGTCCAGAATCACAGAGAACATGTTTCACATGGTAACTCCAACATGGCAGGTCTTCTCTGGTGCTTCCTGGTTTTAGAAGAAAAAGGAGCCTCACGTGTTTTCTCATCAGGCTGCTTCAATGATGGACATCACTTGAAAGTCGCTTTGGGCAAAAGCGTCTGCTAAATACATAAACATAAACATCTTACCTGCACAGGTGAGACCATCCTGGAAGATGTACATGCAGCACGCATCGCACCAGGTGTTCTCGCCTCCAGCCTCGAAGGTGTGCCCCTCCCCGGATTCCTCGTTCACCCTGGGGTCCTTCTCTCCGGGGGAGAAGATGGTCCTCACATCGGGGGCTCGGAACCTGCTCCTCCGGCTACGGGCTGGCCCTCCCCCGGGTCCGTCAATCCCGTTCCTGACAGCTGCTGCGGGTTTCCTCGCCTCAGGGCTCCGGAGGTCGGGCTCGATTGGCTCCCTCTGGCTCCACGCCGCCTCCAGGCTCTCCAGACTGGCCGCGTGAGGAGTCGACTGCCGTCGGACCCCTCTCACCACCACCGCGCCTTTCGAGATACGCATCTTGGCGCCCGGCGGCGGCCACGTCGTGTCGCTCGGAGGCAGGAATGGGTCCGAGTCGTAGGGCGCGCGAGCATGGCGGAACACCTGCGGGGAGTAGCCGGGGGCGTGTTTACGGGTCAGGGGCGAGGAGTTGGACATCGGGCGCTCCTCGTACGTGCCCGGCCGGGTCCAGGTGAATGTACCGCGGCGGGACGGCTCTGTGCCTCCGGGCCGAGTCCTGGTGCTGTCCTCGGACTCGGAGAGCCGGTTCTGCCAGAGAACGGGTTGGATCTCATTTCAGACCTGATGGCGACACGCTCCGCTCACAGGAAGAATGCAGACATATCAGTTGTCACACACCAAACTCTTAAGTCTGTTTAAATCAACTAAATGTCCTTTTTACTGCGTTTTCAGCATAAATCACCTACTTTAATTATAGTTCCGCTTCTTCCTCTGGATAAATAAATACTCCGTGCAAACACAAACTTGTATCTGGATTTATTATAATTAATAATTTGCCCAAATATACCTGCAGGTGAATGAAAGATGAACAAAATCTTTAAAAGTTGCTGCTTACCCGCGTTGGGTGAGTTGCAGTTCCTTCTCAAGGCCACTAGGGGGCGTGGTGCGTTATTCAGTAAAAAACAGTAACGAACGTGACCATAAAAGAAGAAAATGTAAAAAAATATATACTGGCTTTCAAGTTACACCAAATCACGAGTGTTTATTTTTACATATATATAAATTTAAAACTTTTGCATATTTTTACTCTATTTTCTATTAAATGCAAATTTTGCTTTATAGACTAAATAACACTAAAATAGCACGTTACTCAGGAACATTACCAGAAGGCACACATACACTTTTGTTTTAATGTTTTAAGTTTCAGCATATGATTAAATAAATATTTAAATTATTCAAGGCACAAAAGAAACAAGTAAAGTGGACCAGTGATCCGACAGTCCAATCAGCTGGTTTCGGATGGGGAAAGCCACCTGAACTGCGCTGCTCTGGGTGGCTGCATGTTGGAGTAGCTCTGTTGACTATATGTAAGTTTTGCCTTTTCTTGGACATTTTTTCTTCTAGTTTCTCAAGAAAAACTGTATTTTTTGGACATTTTACTTTTCTGTTTCTGGTGCTGTGAAGCTTGGAGGATTTTTACTGCTATTTTTTAGCTTTTTCATTTTTTGAGCATTTGTTATGATGTGTAACCATGGCAACAAGCTGGTTTACAATCGGGAGCAGCTGATTAACATTGGAAAGGCTGAAATAATACCTCAACTGAAGCCACAAATCCCAAATAAGCTAAAATGCAAGCAGCGTGGGTGCAGAGCGGGAGCAAAACGGAGACAGAGAAAGAGGAAATTCAAACCATCTCTTCCATCGATCATAACGGGCGATGTGAGATCACTGGCCAACAAGATGGAGGAACTCCAAGCCCTTTCAAGGACTCAGCCAGAGTTTCGGCAGTTTTGGAACCGCTGGAGGAGATAATGCAAAGAAGGATTCTCCAGAGAATCAAGAAAATGATGGACAACCCTGAGCATTCTCTTCACAAGACCGTCCGACAACGGAAGAGTGTCTTCAGTCAGAGGCTTCTTCAGTTTGGCTGCAACACTGACCGCTACTGGAGATCCTTCCTGCCAACAGCCATTGTAATATACTATATCTCTTTGGTGACTTCATTATTATTATTATTCTGAGCTACTACAGCAATCAATTTCCCTCTGGGGTTAATAAAGTATTTTTGAATTTAATTTAGAGGTGTGAAGCTTTGTGCTTACCCCTTAGCATTCCAGCGTCCCGCCCATGGGACAAACCCCCATTTTGCTCATTAAACTTGGAAATTTAAGGGGTTAAAATTTAAGGAAATTTGTGTATTTCAGGTCTAACTTGTTCATACAGCACGTTTACAGCAGGGCACAATAAAAATTCTGTTTCAGTTAAAAGCTGAATCAATATTGGTCTTAATCATCATTAATGTTTGAAAAGTTGTCAGTTTGCACCGACCTGATTTCCAGAAGCAAACCTCTTGGACCTTTAGAAGTGGCTGTAAGCTGAAGCGTGGGTCACTAAAAGCTCAGTGAGACAAGAGGGTGCTAAGCCACCGGGATTAAAACCATAAGATCTTACTCCCGAGCCCATAAAACAACAGAAGCCGGTGATTTGACTTCGAAACTGGTGTAATGTTGTCTCCCGTTTGCCCGTCAGTAGACGAGCAGCAGCATGAGATGGTGGACGGTTCACTCCAAAGTAGAGGGAGTTGGAGAGTTACGAGCAGTTTCCAACACTTCAACAGGAAGGAGTGGTTTAACCTTCTGGATGACGGCGCTAACCTGACCTCCAAAAAGGACTTCACGAAAAACACGTTCAAAGAAACATTTTGTTTCATCCTTTATAAAATAAATCCAAGTACAAAAATGATTCACAGAGAACATTTCAGATAAGGCAGAATACAGTTTGTGTTTAAAATTCACACAACATGTTGTTATTTTGGCAGGTAAAAGTGCATGTGCTTGGCAAACTTTAATGCCTGAAGTATTACAAAAACCTGAATGTTATCCTAATAAATAAAACAAACAACCTAAGTACTATTTGGTTAGAATAATAAAGACCCACTCAAAGTGCACAACATGAGGTTTTTATGTGCTTTTAAACTTTTTCCAGCCTGAAAGGTCCCGAGTCGGATTCATTTTCACAAAGCGCAGAAGCTGCAGGACGTGTAGTCCCACCAACATCCTGAAGGTGGAGACAGAGTCCTGCTCAGTCCACTTCCTCGTCCTCACTTTGAAAAACTGCCTCCTGTAATGAGTAAAACAGAAGATTTAAGATATTTTACCAACTTAAATGAGTGTTTTCTAAAGGAGGAAGCGTGTGCACGTACATATCCACCGTGCTGCTGAGCCCAGGATGAATAATAATCCTGCAGAAATCGAGCTCCGTGGCTCAGCAGGCGGTTTGTGGGCTGAGTGTCCAAAGCCGAGAGCCGGCTGGTGATCTGATGACGAAACAAACAGCCAATCACATGAAGGTATATTCATGGACGTGTGTCTGAAACGGGTCAGAGTTCAGCCGGTCAGTAGCGCTGCTCTCACCTCACAGGTCACGGCGATTTGAGTTTTGGGCGACGCTCGTGGCCCCAGAGCCTCGGGATCGCGGCTCCTGAATCCTATCCTGTCCAGGAAAACTTCCACGACTCTCCTGAAGAAGTCGTAGTTTGAGAAAAGCTCAAAACTCAGATTGGCTTCTTGAAACTGCAGGAGGACACAAACACACGTGGATATTCCAGAAACAACTGTAGCGTTTCATAACGGAGTCTGGCTCTGAACCCGATGGCTCGGTAGTTTGACGTTAGCTTAAAGAGCAAGTCACCCCCAAATCAAAATTTTTTTGCTGATAAACTATATAAATGTGTGTCTAATCATGCTACAGACACATGTATTCAATAATTTGGCAGTTCAGTGCATCTTTGTTAAAATTCAAATTTTCTGCCTAAAACTGTCAGTGTTGCGCCGTCGTCAGGGAAAAAATCTGCACTGTATTTGAATTTAAACCTGCCACCGCTATTGGCTAAGAGGTATGCTATGATGTCATCTGGTACATTATGATGTCATAATGTCATTGTGAGCCTGTGTGTATTTGTTAGTGGCTCCGCCCTCTTGGTCTGCCAAGCAACAGCATTTGTTGCATTTTTCAAACATGAAGTGGGAGTGAAGTAAGTTTCTTGTTGGGGGTGACTTGCTCTTTAAAAACCCCTGTACTAAAGGTTCGGTACCCGCTTATTGAGCTGGTCTCCACTCTCCCTCAGAATCAGGGCGACGGTCCTCTCCACCTCGTCTGAAACACAACAGCTTCAGTCACGATGAACATCGTACGATGGTTTTATGAGGGCAGAACGTCTCGTTTGCTCACCTTCCTCCGAATCCACCTCTAAATCAGAGGGAACAAACTCAATCTCGTCAGTAATCTCGACCAATCGAGCCGCGACATCCTGCATCTCATCCTCCTCTTCCCCGACAACAGGTACGTCTAGAAAAGAAAATCACAAATGAAATCAAACGTCAGACGTGTGACTAACGGAGTTTTATGGGACACTGGAGAGGAGGAGGAGGAGCCTCCACGGGAGCTCAAGTTCATCTGGTTTTCATGCCAGATGAAACCCACTGGAACGGTGCCAAAGCCACTTTATTTACTCAACAGGCAGAAAAAAAAAGCACCGAGGGCTAAAAAAGCTGGAGGACGAAGAAAAACTTGCTGGGATATCCTGAAAAAAACAATCACAAAATAAAACATTCCAGAGAAATTTCCACATTCAGAAAATGTCAAGAATAGATTTGATTTCACTACAAAAATTAGGAAGAGAAATCAAATGAATATTTAGCCACTTTAGTCTGAAATGAATGCAAAGCTAGTGTTTAATTTCAGGTGATTTCAGGTACCAGTCGCTGATGTCTCACTCACAGTGATGAACCGAAGAACGCATGATCGATCTCCCGCTGACGTCATCCTCGGCCGCTGGCGGCGGCGGTTCTGCCTCGTCTGTCTGAGGTTTAATACATTTGAGAAAAATTCCCAGCGGTTTCCCAACAGTCCTCTTCTTCTTTGCCTTTTCCCTCTCATCTTTTTCAGTCTGGATTTTGTCTGCGGGAGGACCGGCTGCTTTTGCGCCTATGCCGTTTGGAACGCCCGCACCGGGCGGTGTCTGTTTGGGTCGTCTCCTCTGTGCGTAGGCCCGCAGGAGCTTGAACTCCTCTGTGTCCTCCATGTCCGAGCCCGGTTTAGGTTTTGTAGTTTGATTGTTGTTATCAGAGATCCGGTTATGGTCCTTCACGTGTCCGTTGTCCATGCTGTCGAGACAGAAACATGATTTATTATTATTTATTATAACAACCTGTTAAAGAATAGCGAACTCTGGTCCTGGTCAGCAGATTAAGGAGACATATCCAGACGCCATTATAGGTCCAAATAACATGTAAAAGTCATTTCATTCAACAACAAATCACAAAACATACATCAACACTTTATATTTACGGGATGATCATTTAATAGCCACGATCTTGTTTATTACAGAGAATTTAAGGCTAAACACTAAAACATGCGTCTTTACGACTCAGTAATAAACTCCTCTATTCACATCTTTGGGGCTTTTGATTCATTAAAGATTTTATTGTTTCAGCTCCAAGTAAAGTCTAAACGTTTTAAAAACAGCCTGCATTGTATTTAAACAAGAAACTGATCATAAAAACAACCAAATCCACCGTGCCGTCCTCTCTCCGTCAGGAGTTTATTCGTTTTTATGTTTTTCTGTTCAGTCATTTCAAGGCTGTCCGGTCACGTGACCGATCAGCCGGTTCCGTAGAAACGCACAAGTGAGTCACAACTTTAATAAAGACACGCACAAGGTACGGTTACGGGTCAAAGTTTGATTAAAGTCAAAGTTTAGTAGGTCAAGTAGGGACTAAACGTGAAGTTTGTTTCAGGGTGAGCTCTCGCCGAACACATTTCGATGAATTTTACAAAATAACGAACATCGAACACATGTAATCCGTGTTTTATATAATATCTGACTAAAGTGAGATCTTTTTAACAACTGGAAGCCTTAAAAAGGGACGCTCGTCATCCGGACGAGGAGAAAATCAAGTACCGATTACATCTAGGACACACAAATCCACAAAACACCGGTGCTGTGTTACGTAGTTAAAATGAGCTAAATAAAACTACTTACACCAGTTTCTGTTGTTAAAATGAGCTAAATAAAACTACTTACACACGTTTCTGTTGTTTCCTTGTGACAAAATGTGACGAAAAGCCCAAAAGAAACAGTTTGAAAACAAGAGTCCGACTTTGTTCCGGTGATGTTTCCGTCACAGCCGTGGTTAAACTGCCTCGACGTCGCAGCTACGTGGCTTAGATAACGTGTTTCGATGACGTAACGACGCTCAACCCCTTTTCCATGGCGATTGGTGGATTTTCGCTAATACACGTACGTCGTGGTGTAAACCTGGTGTAAACATTGGTGCATAGCTGCTGAAAGCAGAGTTAAAACAGAAAGTTTTATGTGGAATAATGTGTTAGCAATCATGTAAACAGAAAAATAAATGAACAAATCAGCTCTAATGTTTACCTAACCGGGTCTGATGCTGTTGTAAAGAAGCAAAGCGTACACGATAAAATAAAAGTGCATACATTCTAATTTTACGCCGACTCACTGAGTTTTATTCAACTTTCTGTTAAAAGTCTGTACGGAAATATTGAATTATCCGACTATCTAAGTGTTTTAATGCACTGAGGAGTTTAGAAACTGTGCTGATTTTACAGAGAATTAAATTAGATTAATTTCTCTGCAGATAAAGCAGAGCAAGTCTCCACTTGACCTCGAGGCTAACAGCAGCACATTCTTTACACAAGTGGAATTCCCAAATCCTTCCAGATGTCAGGAATTAAGTTTGCTGTTCAGCACAAGAGTCCTCAAGTTATTTTTTCTTTTTAGGAATGAGTCAAATTTTATTTTATTTTTTCAATATCAAATTAAACTCAGCGTGTGGATGATTTTACATCCTAAGTAACACATGACTGCGATGAAAGAACAAAAAACAAACATGAGGAAACCACAATGTGTTTTATAGAATTTCTCAAACAGCAAATGAGAAGTGAGACAAAAAAACTCCACATTTTTCTAGAAAACGAACTTCAGATAAACGTGTCATCAGCCGAACAAATAAAATACAAAAGCAAAACAAATCCTAGGAAGAAACCAGTTTAAAAACTATAATTTAATAGTTTAAACAACAGTAATGCCATTCTTGATGTCATTTAACTGAAAACAAAGGAGGTATGAAAGTCCATGCATAACCAACTCTGATGGGACACAGTTAAATACAAATTCATGTTTCTACAAAGTGATACGAAGCACGTTTTTTAGCAGTCATCTTGTTATAAAAGTGTCATCACTGTTCACAGACAACGCCAATATTCCTTTTACTCGCTGTCCATTTAATAATCCCCAAAGGAAGCTCTCTGTGCCATCGCAGAAGTCCTGCTTTCTTAAACCATCCTCCTGAATAAATCACATTAAAAAAGTATTTTCGTTTTGAAATTGTTACATTTTTGTAGAAAAAGTTGAAGGCAGATGCTGCAATCCCAGTTGAGCATTTTTAAATCAGTTTATCTTTCTTAATATTAAATAAAGTGACTTGTAACTGAAACGGACCCATCTATAATGTTGCACCCAAAATAAGATGCACTTTCATTTCACACATTGCAACACTAAAACAGTTAATATAATTTAATTAAACTTTTATTATGTAATTCCTAATTCAGTCTCTTGAAACTTGTAATAGAAGTAGCGGTAACGCTTCCTTTTAGTCCCCTAATTACTAAGTACTTACATAGTAAGTAAAAGTGTATCATTGTTTCTGAGTTCTTAAACAGTTATTACCATGTAACTCAGGTTCAATTCTAGTTTTTGTTTTATTAATCTATCCAAGTAACTACGGCTTTATACAATAATTACACCTTATTACAATCATACACTTTAACTTACTGTGTTATTACCATGTAAGTACTTAGTAATTAGGGGACTGTAAAAGAAGCGTTACCGAAGTTGCTAATAAACCACAAGCAAATTATCTGAATTCGATTAATCCTCAAAAAATAAATTACATCCATCCATCCATTTTCATCCTCTTAAACAGGGTTGGGTCGCGGGGGCACGAGCCTAAACAGAAAGGCCCAGACTTCCCTCTCCCCAGCCACTTGGGCCAGCCGAGAAACATGGTCCCTCCAGCATGTCCTGGGTTTTCCTTTGGTCTCCTCCTGGTTGGACGTGCCCAGAAAACCTCACCAGGAGGCGTCCTAACCAGATGTCTGAGCCACCTCACCTGGCTCCTCTCAATGGGGAGGAGCAGCGGTTCTACTCCGAGCCCCTCCTGGATGACCGAGCTTCTCACTCTCTCTCTAAGGGAGAGTCCAGCCACCCTGTGGGTGCTTTGTGTGGTGGGCGACGGTCTGATCCTTGGCTACAAAAGCTAGCTCTCAGTACATGGAAAATAACATTATTTGGTCAAAATAAATAAAAATGTTAAACATCGAGTTATTTCACTATTTTCTGTTAGGGAGATGGAGTTTGAGATTTGCATACATTTTGAATAATAGAACCAAACTTTTATCATCTGTTGTCAAACGTGACATTTGAAAAACTTAATCCCTATACATTAGTGTAGAAATAATAATATACGTTTCTTTTGAAAGATAATAACTAAACAGCTTCAGTTTGGAAAACCAGATTAGCTTTGACCAGACTGATATGCTAACAGCTAGGTGAAATTTCACAGCAGTTCATGAAAAACTACTTCAGATTCTTTTTTTTGGCATCACTTTTACAATAAAAACATGGAATTATTTGCTAGTGCTAAAAGCGACGGCAGCAGCTAGCTTTAGCACTTCCTGTTGGATTATCTAACATTTTCTGCTGGAATAATAAATTAAATTGCTTCAAGGTATTTTTAAAGCAAAGTTTGCGTAAATTGTTATATTTATTTTGTAGACTTGAATTCTGATAAGATTTTAACATTTTACTTTGGTTTTTTCTTAAATTAGACGTTAGCTTCAAGTCAAAACCAATCTGCTTCTCCAAGACGAAGCTGCACACACAGTCTATGACACGTAAGGTATTAATTGTTTGTGTATTTTTCACAGAACTCTCTAAAAGATCTAAACTTTCACTTTCAGTCAAACTACAACTGAAACTGAGCTTCCAGTCAAGACTTCCACGATGGCGGTGTGCCATTCTCAAAACATCTATGGAAAAAAAAAACTCTTCCTACCGTAAATATAATTTCATTTTACAACATTTCATATCAAAGGAAACCTCACAGGCTTGTTTCAAGTCCTTTGACAAACATGCACACAAAATAAAACTAAATAATAAAACAAGCATAAACTCAGCCGGCACTGAAATAACATTCAACACTCCTCGGTGCTAAAAAAAAAAACCATTAATGTAATGTAAACGATTAATAAACAAAGAACCTACTCATATTGCATTGAATTTGGCTCAGATTGTTTTTGTTTTTTTTTGTTTTTTTGAAGAAATGCCACAAACACACACAAAGAACTATGCATGAAAACGCCCACTGTTCTTGTTGTAGAGTAGAAGTCTGTTTGTGTGTGGAGCCACTTTATACCGGATATGTTCGGAGTACGAAAACCGGCCACGCATATTTACACGTTTCACAGGGAATGCCTCGTGGAGTCGGAGTACCGGTAACCGGCTAGTTTGGGCCGAACGGATGGTCCCTTTGATTCCGATCCCGTCTCATTGACATCTGATATGATCCTTTAGTTCAGATATTTTTAATCAAATATTTTATATGTGATGCACTTATTTTGGGTCTAGTTCTGTGTTTTCTCTGGCCTTATGGCTTCGTCTCCTGGTTACCGACACGTCATCGGACGTACTGAAGTGCACCTAAAACAGGCAGGAGACCGACAGAACACCAAGTTTAGGAATGCTGCTCTAATAAAAGGTCCACTCTGGTCTAATCTGACGTGTTAATTTATTTCATTGATGGTCAATAAATCAAAAGCAAACAGTAAAAACTGTTTCTTAAATTGGTGTCATATCATTTTAAAAAAGACAAAATATATATTTTTAAATGTTCACAAATATAATCAAATCTGTCGAATATTTACATTTATAGGTAAATATCTACGGATTAACGGTCAAACACCTGCAGCTCTACACGTGTGTGTGTGTGTGTGTGTGTATCTTGTAGAACCAGCAGAGCTGTAATTAAATTATTTGTGTTAGAAAAGTAAAAACAACATGACGTTTGATGGGATCTGATTCAACAGGTTGTATCATGTGACCAGGAGGGAAGGACTCATTATTAGCTTCAGGCTTTAAAACTTGAACTGGATTTTAGCTGAAACTGGTTTCCACAATTATTTTCACTCACTTATGTTCGATATATAACTTTAAAGAGCAAGTCACGCCCTACCAGATTCTTATTCTCAACTCCCACTTCCTGTTAGAAAAATGCAACAAATGCTGTTGCCTAGCAGACTGAGAGGGCGGAGCCATTAACAAATAGACACACACACACAGGTTCACAACGACATTGTGACATCATATGGTACCAGCTAACATTCTAGGGTACCTCTTAGCCAATAGCGATGGCAGATTTAAATTCAAATGCAGTGCAGAGTTTTTACCTGACAACGGCACAACACTGACAGTTTTAGGCAGAAAATTTAAATTTTTACTAAAATGCACTAAAGTGCAAAACTGTTGACTACACGTGTCTGCAGCACGATTAGACACACATTTATATAGTTTATCAGAAAAAAAAGCTGACTTGGGGGTGACTTGCTCTTTAAGTGACGTTTTAGATTTAATCAGAACAGCGGCTAGCTTGTTCCAGTTATGGTCTAACTGTAGTTATTGGTTTGTTTTGAGTCTTGTGGGAATCTAAATGCTTCCTTCTGGGTTTCTGGAATAATTTTCTCCACCAGCTGGAGATGTGCGGGAAAACCCTCAGCATGACCGGATGAGCCAACGCTGACAACAGTTAAAACATTTAAAAATAAACTTCCTGGTTTGTTGGGGAAGCTGATGAGGAAATAAAAAAAGAAACAACAAAAGCAGCTGCTTGACTCACGGTGACTCAGCGGTGACGACGTCAGCAGACACGCGTGTCTTTGCACAACCACTGAGGGACTTTTGGATAAGATGCGACAACAAAAGTGCGACGTCTTTGGCACACAGGTTCCACGACTGAAACGCTTTCCTCCTCCTCCAACACTTTAAACGTTTTTGTGACGCGTTTGTAGAGTAAAATATAACCAAACCAGCTCAGTTACAAGACGAACAGGAGAGCTCACGATGTGTGTTCAAATTGCACTTTCAACTGTTAAAATTCTATCAGTCAATCAATCAATCAGCACAACCAATAAATAGAATATATATAAATAAATACAAATAAATAATTGACCACTAAAGTCTGCTGCAGTGCGGCGAGGACGTCCGTCGCTCTGCTGGTTTGTCCAGCCTCCGGGTTTTAGTCTTTAACACTTTTTCCTTCTCCCGGTCGCTCGTTGCTGCAGGTCCAGAGTCCAGTGAGAGTGCGTGTGTGTGTGTGAGTGTGTGTCCCCGCCTCAGACCGCCGTCTCCAGGTCCTCGTTAGTGGTGGACGACGAGACGTGTCGTTTGGAGTTCAGGAAGGAAACGAGCTCCAAGTCGCCATCTGCTTGGTCTGCAGGTGTCTTCCCCTGAGAGACGCGACAGCAGGTCAAAGGTCAATTCAGGTCAACAAATCAAGACAATTTCTGAAATATTACTAAATCTTCAGCTTGTTTATTCATCGTTTTGATAAAATCATTTAAATTTTAGGCTACAATTTAGGGGTGGACCCACATATTGGGCTGGTTTTACCATTTTTAAAATATATCGACATCGGCCGACATACCTCCTCGGTAAAGCAGATTTAAAATCAGACCGCTTCATGAATTGTGTGCAACTAACGTTATTAGTGGCAGCATGCAAATAAGGTGGAAAATGTCTAGATATCGCCCCCAAGAAACCGGCAGCACATATCGGGCCTCAGCTCACCACGACCTCCCCACATTGGCATTGGTAGTGGCAATATCAAAACCAGTATCAGTCACAATCACATGGTCCGATCAGCTGACCCGAGGTACCAAATTACGGATTCAGATTCGGGTGTGGTTGTTCTCGCCCCGGTTTGGTTCTGAGTTATTTCATTTAAACAATGAATTTCTGTGGAATCAGAATAAAGTCGAAAACCAACCAAACCAAAAACACGGATCAGAGGCCTCATCTGGAACGTTGCCATCAATGCAAATACTTGAATCATCAAGGCTCAGTTCAGGAGGTCAGAGACACGCGACCGATGGTTTACAGCAATAACAGTTCAGCTGCTGCGTCAAGGTCAAGGTCAAGGTCACGTTTGTTTCTAAAGCACACTTATTAATGCTTCCGCAACCCAAACTGCTGTACAACACAGAAGATAACAGCAAGAAAGTATAACTAAAAACCATAAAACCATAAAAATTAGCAAGTTAGGATAAAAACAGCATTGCATCACACAATTATAAATTAAATAAAAATGAGAAAGAATGACAATGACAACATTAAAATCATCCTACATAAAAGCCAGGTTGGATAAATGAGTTTTAAGCAAGGACTTAAAGACACCCAGACTTTGAGAGGTCCTGATCTGCAGAGGAAGACTGTTCCAGGTGTGGGACCGGCCACAGAAAAAGCCCCGTCTCCTCTCGTCTTTAGGCCAGCCTTTGGAACTGACAATAAAAACTGTGAGCCCGGCCGCAAATTCCTGCCAGGAGTGTAGGGTGACGATAAACCATCTATATAAGGAGGGGCCAGACCATAAAGTGATTTATAAACAAAAAGCAACCATTTAAACTGAATCCTGTGATGCACTGGCAGCCAGTGAAGGGCAGCGAGCACTGGAGAGATGTGGTCACGTTTCCTTGTAGCTGTTAAAAGGCGGGCTGCTGCATTTTGCACCAGTTGCAAGCGGTTTAAGGCCGAATGCCCTAATCTATAGTACAAGGAATGGCAGTAATCAAGTCGACAGGAGACAAAGAGATGAATAACATGTTCAAAGACAGTTTCCGGCAAATAACACTTAACCGTTGCAAGTTGCCTCAAGTGATAAAAACTGGACGGGACCACTGCACTTATCTGTCTGTCCAATTTAAACGAACCATCCATGAAAAACCAGGTTTTTCACATGAGGCTTTACTAAATCCGAAAGGGAACCAAGTGGGCACCCTTTAACAGGTCTCCACTGCCAAAAACTAAAACCTCCCGTTAACAGCTGCAGGGTCACATTTAGCAAGCATGAATAAAGTCTTGCTATAGCTAAGAAGAACCTCTTGTGTCTGCTGATGTGGGCTTTTATGCAGCTTCTGTTCCTGATTCTGAATCATTTCGACCACAAAGTTGACGTTTTTATCTCAGTTTAATTCCACTACCTCCGTTTCGCTCCGCTCCGGCACGAACTCCGGAGCAAAATCGGTCCCGTTGTAGTCAATCAGAGCAATTCCACTACTGCGGCCGTGCGGTGCCCACTGCTCCGGCGTCCGGCAAAAATAGGATCGATTCTATTTTCGCCGGACGCCGGAGCACCTCCGCAGTAAATGGACAGAAATCACAAACGCCCAACAGGAAAAGGAGCAAGCACAACTTCCATTTTTCACAATAAATCGATAAACAAAAGGCGTTTTTTGTTTCATATGCACAGGTTTAACAACTTTTAACAACTATCAATGGCGGCTGAAGTTTAAATGCACAAAAATAAGCCATAAATACAGTTTCCACTATCAAAGTAGTCGCCCTTTGTTGATCCAAACACTGCTGATCTCTCAACACAAATGATGGGCAGATTAAAGAGCTCATGCCGATGCTTCTCCCACACAACGGGTGTTTGGATCTAACTTCCGTGTTTATTGCTCGGACTGTATCGCAAGATCTCGAAAATCCCGCGCATGCCTGTTTGCCACCGGAGCGGAGCCGTTGTAGAGCGGGTACCAGTAAAAATTGAGTTCTGAAGCGAGCGGCTACGGAAGGCGGGGGCGGAGCGGAGGTAGTGGAATTTGGGGGTTAGAGTTTCGGTCTCCACTGGGACCGTAGCAACAAAGCAGATAAAACACAGAAACAGAAAGTAGCTTCAGTCTGGTTTTGTTCTGTTTCCATAAGATGAAAGTGAAAGTAAAGCTGGAGCTGACACACCCGACTGTTGTGACTCAGCTGCATTTACAGTAATCCAGTTGTTGTTGTTTACCTGGAAGTTTGTTTTCTGTAGCGACGCACCGGCCTCCACCAGCAAGCGACACACGGCGTGTTGCTTCTCTGAAGCTGCTTTGTGCAAAGCCGTGTCTCCCCTACAGACAAACACACACAACTGTGTTGTTTTTATGCATTTGAAGATGCTTTCAGCTCAACCTCGGTGACGGGCAGGAGGTAACGGACACGTGATGGTGCCCCACACGGTCACAGGGTTGATGTCAACAACAAACACACACGTTTAAACGTTAGAATAAACAGCTTACTTTTGTCTGTCTGTTAAATCCAGAAGGACTTTAGAGCCTGAGAGGGAAACACAGGGAACAAAACCTCTGAGAATGGTTCAAAGCAGAAGATCCCAAACCACCCAACTAACTCTGGTCAGAGAGAACTTCATTAGCTACAGACACACCCACTCTGGGTTTGAGGGCTGATACAGATTTACGAATCAGATTCACCTCTCAAAACAAACATTCAGTTTTTTTTAATTGATTAACTTCAAAATTCAGACTTTGGAAATAAAAACGTCCACAAGTGAAGATCTGAGTTAGAGCTTAGTGACGAGGCATCAAGAGGAGCCAGTGGAGGTGCTCTTCTGGTTAGCGATGCCCTCCGGCCGCCTCCTTGGGAAGGTTTTCTGGGCACGCCTAACCAGGTGGAGACCTAAATGAAGGCGCAGGACACGCTGGAGGGGGGGAGGGTGTTAAAATACCAAATGGCTCCAGAGCACAGCCACTGCTGCAGCTCAGCACTCTCCACAGGGTCGGGTCAAATGGGGAGATGTAACTTCACCAGTGTGTGACGACTAATGGGACTTTGACTTTAACTTTATTTTGTTGTTGCTCTGGAATATTTCCAACGCATCAAAATGGATCAAATCTAGTTCCAGACATGAAAATGAGATTTTTTTATTATTTGAATATTAAAGAAAGAATCTTTAATTCAGTTCAGTTTATTTATAAAGCGCCAAATCACGACAAGAGTCGTCTCAAGGACCTTCCCATAGTAAACATTCCAATCCAGGTCAGTTCATTAAGCCAATCAGAAAAAAAGTTTCCTATATAAGGAACCCAGAAAATTGCATCAAGTCACCGGGGATGTTTCTCAATGCCGAGGAACCTTGCCTTGATGTCTTGGCCCCGCCCCAGTTGCCTAGGAGATACGTCATCGAGAGCCGCCAAGACGTGTTCCAAAGTTCTACCGAGGCGTGTGTTATCCGTTTGTTAGCCGTTTAGCTAGCTGAGCGAGGATACACGGGAGGTGTCTTGTAGCCTAGCCTTGGTCAAAAATTACCCAGAATGCACTGCGGTATTTTCAAAAGGACGGCGGATCAGAAGCTGGCAGCTACTTCGGGGACAATTTTCAAATTTTAAAGTAAGTCAGCTAATTTAAAATGCTGCATGGTGGTGCAGTGGTTAGCACTGTTGCCTCACAGCACGAAGGTTGCAGGTTCAAAACTCGGCTGCGGCCTTTCTGCGTGGAGTTGCGTGTTCTCCCCATGCATGCGTGGGTTTCCTCCGGGTACTCCGGTTTCCCCCACAGATCACAACACGCCCTATAGGTTATAAACAGTAAGTCGCTTTGGATAAAAGTGTCTGCTAAATAAATAAACATAAACTGTTTTTTTAGATCCAAAGAAGTTATCTATGGTTGGTTAGTAGCTTAGTAGTTGCAGCTTCGGTGGCTAGCGGGTAGTAACTCACTTATATACCGTAAATCCTCTAATACAGGCCCGGGCCTCTATTTGACTCAAGCTCATCAAGCTCCAGGCCTTTAATGGAAGGAGGGCCAGTATTAGAGGCAGGCCTCTATTTCCATTTGAGCAAAATGAACTAATGTTCCTTGGAGTTTTTGACAATTAAAATTGCGCCCACATTTTCAAAGTTAAACACATTTCTTTTAACAACGGTAGTTTCTGCTTCAGCCCTCTCCCCCCTCCCCCTGCTTCAGCCCTCTCCCCCCTCCCCCTGCTTCAGCCATCTCCCCCCCTCCCCCTGCTTTAGCCCTCTCCCCCCTCCCCCTGCGCAGCGGCCACAAACTCACTGATGCTCCTGCAGCCTCTCGGAGTTCCTGCTGCTCTAAACATTAAAATAATTATTTCATTTTCTGTTCCTCACTTCTGATTACCTTCAATGGTGTCTGTTTGTTGCAACCAGCAGGTACAAAAACTAACTTGTTTTTATTTGACTATTTTTCTGTCCTGCCTGTTTATTGTCTTCCTGCATCTCCTCTCAATCCTAAAGAAAAACTGCTACCTGGGTTCATATATATTCACCTCATGAGTTACCTTTGAACTGCAGTTCTAAAAGATCTACCGACCGCTAAAACAGCGGAGTGCTCGCTGTTTGTCGGCCGTATCAGTGATCAGTGCGTCGGAGGACAAGGTGATGCGCGCAGCGCCCCGCTCCACAGCAGCGATACACATCAGGCGCAAATAAAAGACAGAAAACATTAAAGGAAATGAACCAACATGAACGATCGCGTGTCAGTACCTACGGTCTGGCACAGCGCGTTGCCCCCACCCCCCACCCCCCCACCCCCGAGCGCAGGAGCTTGTCACCTGCTGACAGCAGACTGCTGTCTTTTCCGAGGGCTGCATCTTGCCGGTCATTATCACGTGACAGCGACTAGTCGACGACAGGCATAAAAAGTCACTATAGTGAAGTTGACTAGTTCATACAACCCCTACTGCTGCTCTCCAGAGTGTTCTGCAGCATAATCAGCACGTTCTCTTTGAACTTGATAGTGTAATGACCTGGCTGGGGTTGTAAGCCAGGTGCATTCTGGGTATTGTGTTATATGTGTTTCCTATCGTTCTGCTAGTTCCTATGTGCTGATTTGCGTGTTGTGTGAGTGTTATGTAAGCCACAGGGAAGGTGATGTGTGTTCTGTGGAGTGGGCTGAATTAGCATGGTTAACTGACACCGTGACTCTGTGTGGTAGGAGCGTGATAGAGGGTCGTGTCTGTAGCGTTACAAAGCGTTGAAGAAAAAGCCTAATAAAGGTCTGCGTGAACCTCTACTGCCTCCTGCTGGTTGATTTGGGGACTATAACCCTGCAGCTGGGACACTCATACTTGCTTGTTACTACATTCCACCCGGCCACAATAAGAGACCAGCCAATATTTACCTCAACTGACTTTGACGCCGGCCACAATTGGAGACCCGACCTTTAACTGAATACCGGCCTGTATTGGAGGATTTACGGTATTTAATTTAATAAACATGTATTTAATTTAACCCTTTGATGCATAATGGTCACTACAGTGGACAGGTACTCAAAATTGTTTTTGTTTTTTTTTTTGCTATTAAGCACAGCTGTTGAAGACTTTATTGCATTTGAGCCCCTCCATTTGGACCTCAGTAAGCCAAGCCAACATATTTCATGTTCAGAATGCATGCTGCCCACTGAAGTGGACATGTAATAAATTATTTGTAAATTATAAAATTTTACAAAAAATATTTGTTGAAATTTGTTTCATTCACACCTAAAGACGAATGAAAAAAATGTTTAAAAAATCATGGTTGAAGATTTCATAATTCATGCATCAAAGGGTTAATAAACATATACATGGGCTGCGCAGTGGTTAGAACTGTTGCCTTGCAGGGAGAGAAGGTCCTGGGTTCGCTTCCCTGGGTTCGCTTCCCGGCCTGGGATCTTTCTGCATGGAGATAGCATGTTGATTGGTCTGTTTAAATTGTCCTCAGGTGTGTGTGTGTGTGTGTGTGATTGTTTGTCCTGTGTGTCTCTGTGTTGCCCTGCGAAGGACTGGCTCTCTGTCCAGGGTGTACCCCGCCTGATTGCCCGTTGACCGCTGGAGATAGGCACCAGCCCCCCCGTGACCCTGCGTGGACAAGCGGGTTCAGAAGATGGATGGAAACATAAACACAATTTAAAAAGTAAAAGGCTCGTTATATATTTATACTGAAACTAATACGTATAAAATATAACGTATCTCCCGTGTCACGTGACCGCCGTGGAAGCCGCGGTCACGTGATGCAAATCTGATCCATTTAACCGTTTTCTTTGACCAAGGAAGGACAACGTCCTCGCAAGGCCAGGCGCCTCGACATTGAGAAACACCCACTGACTAGTGTCAGAGTCTTTACAGCAATCCTCATACTAAGCAAGCATGCAGCGAAAGTGGAGAGGAAAACTCCCTTTTAACAGGAAGAAACCTCCAGAGGATCCGGGCTCTTGGGTCTTAACTGATCTTTTTTATGTCTTTTGGAATAAAACACACCTGACTATCAGCTGAAAGAACATTTTATTTATTTTTGTAGCTCACCAACCCAGCTACATAATACTTTCTATTTAAATCTAACCCTAACATCTGCTGCTTTGCACCATTAAACTGGACTTCTTTCATCTGTGCTCTCACCTTGCTGCAGAACGTAGCTGACCACATCTGTGTGTCCGCTCTGAGCTGCCAGATGCAATGCTGAGCAGCCTTCAGAGTCCCGGACGAAAAAGCTGATGCCTCGACAAACCACACACTCCATCAGCTGTGAGGAAATGAAACACTCCTGCTTTAAGGTTTGCAAATAAATATCTGAAAATAAAGTAATAATGTCTGAACTGTAAACAGCTGTTTAGACAGACGATTGATGAAGACGTTGTCTGCTCATTTGGTCTTCTGCTAATAATTATTTTTCCTGTTTTACCTTGCTAACCCGGTCACTGAGACGTGGCGTTTCGATAGATTTCTACTGATTTCTACTGACAAGGGGGAATATTTCTGTGATGATTACTCAGCGTTAACAGTCTAGCTGGTTGTGAGGCATCAGTGTGACTCAGAGTGATCGTACCGTGGATAGATCTCCTGAACCAGCAGCTGTCAGAAGAGCTGAGGAAAAACAAAAAAAAAAACACAGAAACGATGGCATCAGATCTCGACTCAAACCAAAACTCTGACTTTCTGCTAGATTTCTTTAGAAAAAACCCTTAAGGAGCCACTTTTCTATTCTGTGAAGACCTTTCTGATGTTCTCAGTTGTGTTTTTGCCACAATAACTTAACTTGTTCCTGGTCTAATGACATTAAACATCTACAAACTTACAGCTGCTGACATCTGTGTTCATGCAACCAGCAGCGCCACGCGGATCCGTGCAATGAATAAAGGAGGAAAGACAGATTCTGGAGCCGGGTCTCAGATAAATGGACTCCGACTAACCACGGCTGTCAGAATAAAAGCGTTTGTGTCTGAAATCCTAAATCTGATGTGGGTCAGGAATTTTGGTGTCAGGCTGAAGGACCTGGAACGTGGATGTGGAACACCAGAAAGTTCCGGGATTTCCCGCTAAACAATCCCAGACATGTTCCAGGACTTTCAGCTGTTAGACATGTTTTACGGGAATCCTCCATAGAAACATGAGTTCAACAGCATTCCTCAGTCACAGTTCCGTTAAATCTACCGAAGGTTTTCGCCAAGCTCTGGAGTGAACGTCACGCTCCAGTCAGAACATGCCTGGATGCCATTTCGCTGAGCACGATCAAACACCAGCCGTACAGAGCCTGTCAGCTGTTTACGTTTCTTATTATGATTGCTAGGCTGCATGAACTCATTTCACCTTAAACTCGGAGGAAACCACAACATAAACCAGGTGTGTGAGCGTCTCCATACCTTGCTCGTCAGCTGATAAAGGTGCTCTGCAGACAGGAAGAGAAAAACCTTTCATTTAATGACAGCCGGGTTACTCACTTAAAACTGTTGCAAAGATGAATATTTTAGGAGTTTTTTATGGAGAGCCAAAGATGACACAATTCATTTAAAGCTGTTATGGCAAATCTACAGAAAGAGCTAGGACACTGAACACTCACCCCTCCCCTCGGGTATCTCCCCTGAAAAAAATATTCACTTCCAAATCGCGACTCTTACTTATGAAGATTCAGAATTTATTAGAAAAAGAGTCTGAATTGATCCGGTCCAACACACCTGCTGCTGACTGATTGGCCAGCTCAAATTCATGCCTACCATTAGGGGGAGCCTCCTAATGGCGGAGATAATCGGCCCGCGGGGCTTCCCGTGTGCACGATTCATTATCATTTTGGTTAGTGAGGAGGTGATACCTTCGACTGAAGCCATCTCCTATCGCTCTCAGCTACACACACACACACACACACACACACACACACACACACACACACACACACACACACACACACACCATTCCAGCTAATACACACAGCACTGTGTGGCTTGAGCTGCCTCGTGGGAGGACGACTGCCTTTTTTGTTTACCACAAAGCGACGCCGCTCACGGTGGCCTTTGTTTAACCCTCCCACTGTCCTAACGGGTGTGACCCCGCCAGGAAAGCTGGCCATTGAGCAGTATTGATGGTTTATCCCTTGAGGTCCACGTGGCAGGGGTGAGGTGGTGCTCACTCCTCACCAATGCCACATGGACCCAAGGGATAAACCATCAGTCCTGCTCAATGGCCAGCTTTCCTGGCGGGGTCACACCCGTTTGGACAGTGGGAGGGTTAAGGGAGACACTACGGACTTCTCCACACGTCTTTTGCCCCGCCCACGTGCTTGGAGATTTAAACGTTCCTGAGAAGTGTGTGAACAAACCCTACCAGTGCGTGACCATGACCCGATGCTAACCAGTCTGGACCGAACCAATGTAGAAGCGGCTTTGTTTACTAAGAGAACTGATTGAGAATTGGTTCTGAATTGAATCGTCACCCCGAGAATCAGAACTGAATTTAATCGTTAGATTCACATCCCTACCTCCTGAGATCCTCGTGCTGAAACCAGATAGCGCTAAACACCAATCTCCGTTTTCTAGGTTCAAACGTCTTTTGTTGTCCGTGACTTCAAACGGTGTTTTTCTTTTTGGGACTCGGGTAGTTTGTCCTAAAGCTGAAGCGGTAGCAGCCGGCTGTTTCTCCTTCTCTGCTTTTATTGGGCGGAGAACCTCTCGCACCAGCGGTGTTCTGTGGCTGAATATGTGAGCGTGTGATGGGAGGAGGATCCAGGGAAGTGCAGCGGTCGGTCCAATGGTTGCTTTCTGTCTGAAACGTGTTATCGGCGGAGGTTTTTAACAAATGCGAGAGAACCACTTTATCAATTTTTATTTCCATTTATTTTAAATCTCCACAATAAATTTGTAGCTACTGTCAGAACGTTGTGAAAATAATGTTTTAAGCTAATTTGATTTCCAAAATTCCCATAGCAGCTTTAATAAATAAACAATCAATCCATTTCAATAAACAATTTGCATAAATAGTTATTGAATTCTAATTAATAACCCAAACATTAATAAATCAATGATGATAAATGAATAGCGCCTTTCAGAGTCAGAGGACTCCAAAGCGCTTTACAACCTGCTCTACCTCCTGAGCTGCCCACATTTATGGAATGTATAATCCATTAAATATTTATGTTTTCAAAAATATTTAATTAATGATTTCTTTCTGGGACGCTGTACATTAAAAACGTGAATCAGTGTCAGTGGGCGGGTCTAATGATGATTATATCGATTGCTCTGGCCTAGGTTCTGGTCCCCTACACCATCTTACCCGGATGTAGGTTCGACCACCAGATCAGGCATCCCGGAGGACGACCCCTGGGGTCCCTCGTGGTCCAGGATGAACACCTCATCCTGGCAGATTTCTGTCACAAAGTGGAGGTGTTCCTGCCGGCACACATCAGGAACAAACGTGAGCACAAGGAAAATAAAATAGAAATGCTTTTTTTTTTTTTGCTGGACCTGAAAATCATCACTGACCTGAGCTTTGTCAATGCGGTAAAAGCGATCAGCTGATGTGGCTAAAAGGAGATAAAAAAACAGAAATACACTGAGACTGCATTAAAATACACTTTTTAAATGATTGAATCATTTTTATATTAAGTTTTTACATTTTATTCAGTTTCATAAATCTTATTTGTGTAAACATAGAAAAAGGTAAAAAATTACATTTTTAAAGTTTGTGTGACATCTCTTATTATGTGTTTCATTGTAACTGTGGGCTTTTGTTTTGTAAAATTTTATCCATCCATTTTCATCCGCTTAACCGGAGTCGGGTCGCGGGGAAAGCAGCCTAAGTCGAGAGGCCCAGACTTCCCTCTCCCCAGCCACTTGGGCCAGCTCCTTCGGGGGAATCCCAAGGCGTTCCCTGGCCAGGTGAGAGACATAGTCCCTCCACCGTGTCCTGGGTCTTCCTTTAGGTCTCCTCCCGGTTGGACGTGCCCGGAAAACCTCACCAGGGAGGCGTCCAGGAGGCATCCTGACCAGATACCCGAGCCACCTCAACTGGCTCCTCTCGATGTGGAGGAGCAGCAGGTCTACTCCGAGCCCCTCCCGGATGACCGAGCTTCTCGCCCTATCTCTAAGGGAGAGCCCAGCCACCCTGCAGAGATAACTCATTTCGGCCGCTTGTGTCCGTAATCTCGTTCTTTCGGTCACTACCCAAAGCTCATGACCATAGGTGAGGGTAGGAACGTAGATCGACCGGTAAATCGAGAGCGTCACCTTCTGGCTCAGCTCTCTCTTCACCACGACAGACCGGTACAACGCCCGCATCACTGCAGATGCAGCACCAATCCACCTATCGATCTCACGCTCCAGTTTTCCCTCACTCGTGAACAAGACCCCGAGATACTTAAACTCCTCCACTTGGGGCAGGACCTCATCCCTGACCTGGAGAAGGCATTCTGCCCTTTTCTGACTCAACACCATGGTCTCAGATTTAGAGGAGCTGATTCTCATCCCAGCTGCTTCACACTCGGCTGCGAACCGCTCCAGCGAAAGCTGAAGATCACGTTCTGATGAAGCCAACAGGACCACATCATCTGCAAAAAGCAGAGACCTGATCCTCAGGCCACCAAAACGGATGCCCTCCACACCTTGGCTGCTCCTAGAAATCCTGTCCATAAAGGTTATGAACAGAATCGGTGACAAAGGGCAGCCTTGGTGGAGTCCAACTCTCACTGGGAATGAGCCCAACCTACTGCCGGCAACGCGGACCAAGCTCTGACACCGGTCATACAGGGACCTAACAACCCGTATCAGAGGGCCTGGTACCCCATACTCCCGGAGTACCCCCCACAGGGCCCCCCGAGGGACGCGGTCAAACGCCTTCTCCAAATCCACAAAACACATGTAGACTGGTTGGGCAAATTCCCACGCACCCTCCAGGATCCCCCTAAGGGTATAGAGCTGGTCCAGTGTTCCACGGCCAAGAGGAAAACCACATTGCTCCTCCTGAATCTGAGGTTCAACAATCTGACGGACCCTCCTCCAGAACTCCTGAATAGTCCTTACCAGGAAGGCTCAGGAGTGTGATCCCCCTGTAGTTGGAACACACCCTGCCACCCCCCTTTTTAAATAAGGGGACCACCACCCCGGTCTGCCAGTCCAGTGGGACTGCCCCCGATGTCCATGCGATATTGCAGAGCCGTGTTAGCCAACACAGCCCCACAACATCCAGAGCCTTAAGGAACTCCGGGTGGATCTCATCCACCCCTGGAGCCTTGCCACAGAGGAGCTTTTTAACCACCTCAGTGACCTCAGCACCAGAGATTTGAGATGCCAGCCCAAACTCTCCAGACTCTGCTTCCTCACTGGAAGACGTGTGGGTGGGATTGAGGAGGTCTTCAAAGTATTCTGCCCACCGATCCACAAGGTCCTGAGTAGAGGTCAGCAGCACACCGTCCCCACTATAGATGGTGTTGGTGTAAAATTTTATGAGGAATCTTTTCTTTCATAACAATTGAACTTCTGGCTTTACTCACAATCCAGGAAACTCCAGTTAGAAGACAGTCTACTGGTTGAACCAGACATGGGGACGCCTCTGCTTTCATCCTAGACAAGAACAAAAACAGTGTGATCATTATCTGCTCAGTCAACCCCGAGGTTGTTGTTAAGAAAAGCTCTACCTGATATAAATATAGAGTCAAAGGCTGAAAATAGAAATGAGGGAGCAAGAGAATCAGAAATTTAAGAGAGGATTGTGCTCAAGACCATGTGCCACTCTGTAAATATTACATTTTCTGTGTCCTCATTTTAAATTTAGCCCAGAGTTTACTGGAAGTTACGTAAACATCCCACCTCTGGAAATCTGTGACTTGGTGCTTAAATGTGTAAAAATGTCCTAATTGAGTGTTACTTTGCAGAAGTCGTGTACCTGGTAGTGCACTCTGTGACCAGTAGATGGCGCCTGGTGTAAATCCTAGCAGGCACAGCAGACAAGTCTCAAGGTTAACAAGCAGCCAAAGCATTTAGTATTAAAAAGTTTCCACACGCTTCACCACACGAGCAGCGCCACAAAAAGAGCAGCGCCGTGATCTCGGCCAGTTGATCCGTCTGTAAATAACTCAGAGAGGAGAGGCTGGGAGGGGAGAGGAGAGAGGGGAGAGGAGGGGAGAAGAGAGGAGGGGAGAAGAGAGGATGGGAGAGGAGAGAGGGGAGAGGAGGGGAGAAGAGAGGAGGGGAGAAGAGAGGATGGGAGAGGAGAGGAGAGAGGGGAGAGGAGGGGAGGGGAGGAGAGGAGAGGGGAGGAGAGGAGGAGAGGAAAGGAGGGGAGAGGAGGGGAGGGGAGAAGAGAGAGGGGAAGGGAGGAGAGGAGAGGAGGGGAGGGGAGGAGGAGAGGGGAGAAGAGAGAGGGGAGGAGAGGAGGGGAGGGGAGAAGAGAGAGGGGAGGACGGGAGAGGAGGAGAGGAGGGGAGAGGAGGAGAGGAGAGGAGGGGAGAAGAGATGAGGGGAGGGGAGAAGAGAGGATGGGAGAGGAGAGGAGAGAGGGGAGAGGAGGGGAGGGGAGGAGAGGAGAGGGGAGGAGAGGAGGAGAGGAAAGGAGGGGAGAGGAGGGGAGGGGAGAAGAGAGAGGGGAAGGGAGGAGAGGAGAGGAGGGGAGGGGAGGAGGAGAGGGGAGAAGAGAGAGGGGAGGGGAGGAGGGGAGAGGAGGAGAGGAGGGGAGAGGAGGAGAGGAGAGGAGGGGAGAAGAGAGGAGGGGAGAAGAGAGGATGGGAGAGGAGAGGAGGAGAGGAAAGGAGGGGAGAGGAGGGGAGGGGAGAAGAGAGAGGGGAAGGGAGGAGAGGAGAGGAGGGGAGGGGAGAAGAGAGAGGGGAGGGAGGAGGAGGGGAGAGGAGGGGAGAGGAGAGAGGGGAGGAGAGGAGGGGAGAGGAGGGGAGGGGAGAAGAGAGAGGGGAGGGGAGGAGGGGAGAGGAGGAGAGGAGGGGAGAGGAGAGGAGGGGAGAAGAGAGGAGGGGAGAAGAGAGGATGGGAGAGGAGAGGAGGAGAGGAAAGGAGGGGAGAGGAGGGGAGGGGAGAAGAGAGAGGGGAAGGGAGGAGAGGAGAGGAGGGGAGGGGAGGAGGAGAGGGGAGAAGAGAGAGGGGAGGAGAGGAGGGGAGAGGAGGGGAGGGGAGAAGAGAGAGGGGAGGGGAGGAGGGGAGAGGAGGAGAGGAGGGGAGAGGAGGGGAGAAGAGAGGAGGGGAGAAGAGAGGATGGGAGAGGAGAGGAGAGAGGGGAGAGGAGGGGAGGGGAGGAGAGGAGAGGAGGAGAGGAAAGGAGGGGAGAGGAGGGAGAGGAGGGGAGAGGAGGGGAGAAGAGAGGAGGGGAGAAGAGAGGATGGGAGAGGAGAGGAGAGAGGGGAGAGGAGGGGAGGGGAGGAGAGGAGAGGAGGAGAGGAAAGGAGGGGAGAGGAGGGGAGGGGAGAAGAGAGAGGGGAAGGGAGGAGAGGAGAGGAGGGGAGGGGAGAAGAGAGAGGGGAGGAGAGGAGGGGAGAGGAGGGGAGGGGAGAAGAGAGAGGGGAGGGGAGGAGGGGGAGAAGAGAGGAGGAGAGGAGAGGAGAGGAGGGGAGAAGAGAGGAGGGGAGAAGAGAGGATGGGAGAGGAGAGGAGAGAGGGGAGAGGAGGAGAGGAGAGGAGGGGAGGGGAGAAGAGAGAGGAGAGGAGAGGAGGGGAGAGGAGAGAGGAGAGATTGGAGAGGAGAGGAGAGGAGAGGAGGAGGGGAGGAGGGGAGAGGAGGAGAGGAAGGGAGAGGAGGAGAGGAGAGGAGGGGAGAAGAGAGGAGGGGAGAGGAGAGAGGGGAGAGGAGGGGAGGGGAGAAGAGAGGAGGGGAGAGGAGAGAGGGGAGAGGAGGGGAGGGGAGGGGAGGAGAGGAGAGGAGAGGAGGGGAGAGGAGAGGAGGGGAGAGGAGGAGAGGAGATGAGGGGAGGGGAGGGGAGAAGAGAGAGGAGAGGAGAGGAGGAGGGGAGAGGAGGAGAGGAGAGGAGATGAGGGGAGGGGAGAAGAGAGAGGAGAGGAGAGAGGGGAGAGGAGGAGAGGAGGGGAGAGGAGGGGAGGAGAAGAGAGAGGAGAGGAGAGGAGAGGAGAGAGGGGAGAGGAGGAGAGGAGGGGAGGAGGAGAGGAGGGGAGGGGAGAAGAGAGAGGGGAGGGGAGGAGAGGAGGGGAGAGGAGGGGAGGAGGAGAGGAGGGGAGGAGAGGAGAGAGGGGAGAGGAGGAGAGGAGGGGAGAGGAGGGGAGGAGGAGAGGAGGGGAGGGGAGAAGAGAGAGGGGAGGGGAGGAGAGGAGGGGAGGAGGAGAGGAGGAGAGGAGAGGAGGGGAGAGAGAGAGGAGGGGAGAGGAGAGGAGAGAGGGGAGAGGAGGGGAGGGGAGGGGAGGGGAGGAGAGGAGAGGAGAGGAGGAGAGGAGGGGAGAGGAGAGGAGGGGAGAGGAGGAGAGGAGATGAGGGGAGGGGAGGGGAGAAGAGAGAGGAGAGGAGAGGAGAGGAGGAGGGGAGAGGAGGAGAGGAGAGGAGATGAGGGGGGGAGAAGAGAGAGGAGAGGAGAGGAGAGAGGGGAGAGGAGGAGAGGAGGGGAGGAGAAGAGAGGAGAGGAGAGGAGAGGAGAGGGGAGGAGAGGAGAGGGAGGAGAGGAAAGGAGGGGAGAGGAGGGGAGGAGAGGAGAGGAGGGGAGGGGAGAAGAGAGAGGGGAGGGAGGAGGAGGAGGGGAGAGGAGGGGAGGAGGAGAGGAGGGGAGGAGAGGAGAGAGGGGAGAGGAGGGGAGAGGAGGGGAGGAGGAGAGGAGGGGAGGGAGAAGAGAGAGGGGAGGGGAGGAGAGGAGGGGAGGGGAGGGGAGAAGAGAGAGGAGAGGAGAGGAGAGGAGAGAGGGGGTGAGGAGGAGAGGAGGGGAGAGGGAGGGGAGAAGAGAGGATGGGAGAGGAGAGAGGGGAGAGGAGGGGAGAAGAGAGGATGGGAGAGGAGAGGAGAGAGGGGAGAGGAGGGGAGGGGAGGAGAGGAGAGGGGGAGGAGAGGAGGAGAGGAAAGGAGGGGAGAGGAGGGGAGGGGAGAAGAGAGAGGGGAAGGGAGGAGAGGAGAGGAGGGGAGGGGAGGAGGAGAGGGGAGAAGAGAGAGGGGAGGAGAGGAGAGGAGGGGAGAGCAGGGGAGGGGAGAAGAGAGAGGGGAGGGGAGAAGGGGAGAGGAGAGGAGGGGAGAAGAGAGGATGGGAGAGGAGAGGAGAGAGGGGAGAGGAGGGGAGGGGAGGAGAGGAGAGGGGAGGAGAGAGGGGAGAGGAGGGGAGAAGAGAGGATGGGAGAGGAGAGGAGAGAGGGGAGAGGAGGGGAGGGGAGGAGAGGAAGGAGGGGAGAGGAGGGGAGGGGAGATGAGAGAGGGAAGGGAGGAGAGGAGAGGAGGGGAGGAGGAGAGGGGAGAAGAGAGAGGGGAGGAGAGGAGGGGAGAGGAGGGGAGGGGAGAAGAGAGAGGGGAGGGGAGGAGGGGAGAGGAGGAGAGGAGGGGAGAGGAGGAGAGGAGAGGAGGGGAGAAGAGAGGATGGGAGAGGTGAGGAGAGAGGGGAGAGGAGGGGAGGGGAGGAGAGGAGAGGGGAGGAGAGGAAAGGAGGGGAGAGGAGGGGAGGGGAGAAGAGAGAGGGGAAGGGAGGAGAGGAGAGGAGGGGAGGGGAGGAGGGAGGGGAGAAGAGAGAGGGGAGGGGAGGAGGGGAGAGGAGGAGAGGAGGGGAGAGGAGGAGAGAGAGGAGGGGGAGAAGAGAGGAGGGGAGAAGAGAGGAGGGGAGAAGAGAGGATGGGAGAGGAGAGGAGGGAGAGGAAAGGAGGGGAGAGTAGGGGAGGGGTGAAGAGAGAGGGGAAGGGAGGAGAGGAGGAGGAGGGGAGTGGGAGAAGGAGAGAGGGGAGGGGAGGAGGGGAGAGGAGGAGAGAGGAGGAGGGGAGGAGAGGAGGGGAGAGGAGGGGAGGGGAGAGAGAGAGGGGAGGGGAGGAGGGGAGAGGAGGAGAGGAGGGGAGAGGAGGAGAGGAGAGGAGGGGAGAGAGAGGGAGGGGAGAAGAGAGGATGGGAGAGGAAAGGAGGGGAGAGGAGGGGAGGGGAGAAGAGAGAGGGGAAGGGAGGAGGGGAGAGGAGGAGAGGAGGGGAGAGGAGGAGAGGAGAGGAGGGGAGAAGAGAGGAGGGGAGAAGAGAGGAGGGGAGAAGAGAGGATGGGAGAGGAAAGGAGGGGAGAGGAGGGGAGGGGCGAGAGAGAGGGGAAGGGAGGAGAGGAGAGGAGGGGAGGGGGAGGAGGAGAGGGGAGGAGAGGAGGGGAGGGGAGAGGAGAGGGGAGGGGAGGAGGGGAGAGGAGGGGAGAAGAGAGGAGGAGAGGAAAGGAGGGGAGAGGAGGGGAGGGGAGAAGAGAGAGGGGAAGGGAGGAGAGGAGAGGAGGGGAGGGGAGGAGGAGAGGGGAGGAGAGGAGGGAGGGGAGAAGAGAGAGAGGGGAGGGGAGGAGGGGAGAGGAGGAGAGGAGGGGGAGAGGAGGGAGAAGAGGAGAGGGGAGGAGAGGAGGGGAGAAGAGAGGAGGGGAGAAGAGAGGAGGGAGAAGAGAGGATGGGAGAGGAGAGGGGAGAGG